TCTTTTAAAACAAGCTTTACTTTTGAAAACGATCAATAATGTAGTTCTATCCATACTAATGAAAAATATTTCCCCAGTTAATATATAATTAGGGGAAGTAAAGAATAAGAAAAGACATCCTTTCTCTTAAAGTAATAAGTGGCTTAGATGCAATCCATGGGGAATGCTAATTTACGAATACTGGACTTATCAATAACCCATATACACTTCATGTATCTTAATAATAATTTGTAAGGTGCTTTGTAGTTTTTAAAACACATTTTTATCAGTATACCATTTGGTGCTCAAACAATGCATTCACAGAAGCAGGGGCTACCTCTGGCCATCAAGGTCCTAGGATGGATTGCCTGAGGAGCTCAGTGATTAGCAAAGTGATCTGGGTACTTAATCTTCATTTACCACAAGTTTTCTAAGGAGTAAGCTCCAAACACTTGCCTTAAAAGTTTGACTTTTGAAAGATAACGCTACCTATTTGTAAGATTGGATCTAGTATATAACCGTGTTACAAATTTTTACTTTCTCATTTATGTGGGATTTTAGGAAAGTATTCCACAGCATATAATTACATGTATACTTAGGGTTCTCTTCCAGAAATCCTAAAAATCAACATAAGCCTAAGAAGTTACTTGACAATATAAAGAACTGCTATTGGAAGACAAAATAGTTTATTTCAGAACATTTAAAATAAGCTATTGCATTCTTAGGCTTTTTCCCTAAGCATCAGTACAGAAACTTAAAATCTAGACGAACCTTCTGCTGCACATTCCGGTAATCTAGGCATTCTTTTCGTATTTCAACAAAGACCAAGCGTTTTCTCAGCACTTAACTGTGCTGACACATATGACTAGAGTCACTCTGTAGGGAAAACACCTTTCTTGCTCAGAGATCCCCATCCACCTGTCACAGTGTGTTCCAATGAGGTACAGAACAGGTAGCGGAATCTACTTGGTGGCCTTGACGATAGTTTCCAAGAAGAGAAGAGACATGTATTAAGGAAATAAAAAATGGCCCAACCACTGATTAATGCTAAATAAACAATGCCAACTGTATTGCTTCCCAAGTGGATTCCGATGGTCAGGAAGGTGATCGCCCAATAACAGAGAGCCCGAGCCCTCCAGGGGCACGTTCCACGGCGCTCAGCAGGCACCAGGATGTTTTACATGAGAAAGGACAGTTACTACCTTCCGTGATATGACAGAAGTACCTAGAATATGATAGAAGTACTTCCTGTATGTGGAAACTTAGTACCGATTTAGTACTTATGAATTGTTAAACTTCTCCTTAACCCGTTTGGACTTTCAACGTGGAGTTTCTCTTAGAGTTAGATTTCACTTAATTACCACCACCTCCAAATGTGCTTGGACGTGATCTAAAATGACCGCCCTTTAAGCAGTACTAGTGTTCTAGGATTCATCTATATTAGCTCTTTTCATAACCTTCTACTAACTGCATTATTTCTTTTAAAATAAAGAAATTAAAACACACGGCAATATTCCAAGTGGGATCTGATAAATGCCGAACAGAACAGAATGATTACTTTCTGACTCTCACATGTTTACTCCTCCAGATTATACTGAAAAAAACTAGCAAGAGTACTAACTTGCCCAGCTACACCATAATCACCATGTGATCACTTCAATTAAATTCTCTAAGAATGAGGGCTGCTTTATTAAAACAAAAAAAAAGTCAGCTGAGGTTACAAAGAAAACAAATACTTTCTACATCATGTGAAGCAAAATTGGCTTGTACCAATTTTGTACCAATGGCTTGTACTTGTACCAATGGCTTAACAGTAATGTTAACTGCGGGGAAAAAACATACATTCATGAATAGTTTTTAAAATCTGCCTATAGGTGAAGATAAGCAGGACAACATTAAGCAAAACTACTATTTTTCAGTGAACTTTACAGTTTCCAGGCCACCTTTTCCTCTCTCTCTGGGCACCCATTCCCCACTGTAAGCAGTCAATGTAGTTTTTCTTGCCAACTTTCCCACATTAAAAGAGGAAGAGATCTAACCCCAGTTATTTATATTATTCACATTTCTGTATATACGATTTTTAATGTTGTATTTTAAATCTATTTTAAATGGAAACATCTCATCATTGTTTAAAATTTTTAAGATATAACCAAACGACTAGAGAGTCTGAATAAAAAACAATCTTTCTGAGAACAACAACAAAAAACCAAAATGAGTAAAGACCATCATGTTTGTTTAAACTTATTTTAATTTCAATGGTGTTACTCGTGCCAGGAAAAATCGAGGATAAGCAATAAAACAGATTATTTTGGAACTGAGAAAGCTGGGAGGTAAAAAAAAAAAAACCAACCAAATAAAAAATCAACCTTTGTTTCCCTATGCCCAGGGTGCCCTGAGGGCTTAGAACAATACGGGAGGAGACCTAGTCGGTCCATGGCTGATAGAGGCGGTCGTGGGAGCTGCTAACGACAGGGCCCGCACCCTCTCGCACAAGCTTCTTGCGAATCCTCAAAACTATGCTAACAGCAAAACACCAAAAGCACCTCTGTTCTCTCTCGCCGCTTTCATTTGTCCTCCCTTTTCCACCTGAACACAGGTCCTTCCCTTTTCCCTTGGTTAGACAATGATCTCTATTAAATTCCTGTGAAGAAAAGAAAATACCTCCTCACCTGTCCCAGCACTCCTAGGGTATGTATGTTACGTACGTGTGTGTGTGTACAAATAAATAATTGGGCATAATTTGTACTTTAATTATTATTTTGGGGTATGATTCTATAACACAATTTAATCTCTGCTAATCTAACACATTAGAATTTTCTTTACTATTTCTGTCTGGTAATAAAGTCTCTATAAAGAAATATATTTCTGAGAAACTTCTATTTTATTAACAGAAGTATTTTTCTATATTAAATTAACCATTCATCATTTTCTACCTACTATTTGGTTTTGATTTCTAAATCAAGGGTTCTCAATTTTTTTTTTTATTTCTTTTTTAAGATTTTATTTTTCCTTTTTCTCTCAAAGCCCCCCGGTACAAAGTTGGGTATTTTTAGTTGTGGATCCTTCTAGTTGTGGCATGTGGGATGCTGCCTCAGCATGGCTTGATGGGTGGTGCCATGTCCGCGCCCAGGATTCAAACCAGTGAAACCCTGGGCCGTCGAAGCAGAGCGTGCGAATTTAACCACTCAGCCACGGGGCCAGCCCCTCAATCTTTTTTAAAATCCTTTACCTATTTTAAGAACAGAGGGAAAGCTATGAACCTTTCCTGCAGAAAAGTGCAAACATACACAAAATTTTGCATAGAGAAACGGGTTAAAAACTTCTACTTTGAGTGAATTTAAGAGGCTCGCACTTGCTCCTGTTAAAATAATTTTACTAAAAATGGACATTTCTTCTATTTCTAAGATCTCTTATGATTCCATGAATTTTTTCTGAGTATCTAAAAACTAAAATTTCTTCTATTTATTGGTTAAAAAAGAAAAAGAAGGTCTACCATAATAGATGTTTAATGTTTTCTCCCGTCTCAGTTCTTTTTGGGTACGACATTCTAGGAAGATCTACATATATCCAATGAGGATACAATCCACATGTGTCCAATACACACAGATCCAACAGCCATGTACTCCTGGCTTTGGCATTAAAATTGAGCTTCATTTATAGATTACAATTTAAAAACTTACTGAAGTCTAGATATAGGAGAAATTCTTCCAGGGCCTTGGACATAATAAGTAAAATGGACAACATACGTGGAATGGAGTCAGAACAATCATCAAGAATTACTTCCTTACCTTACACATGAACTTCATAATTTGGCAAAGCAAGTCACACAGCAGAATCAACTGTAATTTTATGGTTATCCCTCACATAGCAAAAACCCAAACTGTAATATTTAAGTTTCAAAATTTGTTTCAAATTATTCCAACTCTGTACTTAAATTTCTAAAACTCTGATGATTTACACATATGAAAATATGCTGCCTATTTACTATCAATGGGTATGTAATCTGAGTAGTTTTCCTCTAGAATTGAGGGCTTTTATGGCAATTGTGATATTCCTTGGGACCAACTGCTGACTTTGCAACTTAGTTGCCATGGGTTGAGATCTTTGATTAGGAAATAGAACAAAGATAAATAGCTTATAAAGTGATCAAATCTATCCAGGCCTTATTAGCATCACGCTTTGATATAAATACCTAAAAACATTTACACGAAACTCTTTAAAAAAAGAATTCTACATTAAAAAATCTCGAGAAGCTGGCACAGAATATTCAATACATGTTTTCGCTGTTGTTTATGCAAATAGCACAGGCATACTAAAATATTAAAAATTTAGGGGCCAGCCCTGTGGCCAAGTGGTTAAGTTAGCGTGCTCTGCTTCAGCGGCCCAGAGTTTCGCTGGTTCGGATCCTGGGTGCAGATGTGGCACTGCTACTCAGGCCATGCTGAGGCAGCGTCCCACATGCCACAACTAGAAGGACCCACAACTGGAATATACAACTATGTACTGGGGGGCTTCAGGGAGAAGAAAGAAGACTGGCAACAGATGTTAGCTCAGATGCTAACCTTAAAAAATAATAAAAAATAAAAAATAAAAAATTTAAAAATGTAAGTCACAGCTAAATTATCAATTTAATCATTTAGAAAATCTTACATGACAATGATTTAAAAATAAATTCCATTTCTACTAACACAAATCTACTTAACCCAAATGAGTATATATTTATCTGTGATGTTTGGCCCTTTAAGTTAAATTACTTTTACTCGAGAGCATCAGGCAATCAAGTAATCATAGTGCCTCAAGAACGCCATTTTTAGAGACTCTTATCACTCAGTGAAATAACTATTCAAATGATATTTTCATATTAAAAATTTAGCATAAGAATGATTTTGAGCCATTTTGGCTATCAATTAAAAATTTAATATTAAATATTTAATTAAATGTTTTAATATAAAAACATTCACACTATCCTGAAATAGTACTTTATGTTGGATACACGCTGAGTACTAACGCAGACTTCTTACCTGTAATGTACATGTGTGACCGTTGGTTTTCTGTATCCAAGGATCCAGGTTTGAATATCCATGGGTTCAGCTTTGGGGTAAGCTATGGTTGTATCTATTACCCACTGGAGGCCTTTTGATTTGCTATCTAAGAACAAATAAAAAAACAACTTAAAATTGGATCAATTTTTATATTATTTATAGCAAATAACACAGTATAGATTACTTGAGGAGTATTAAAGGATACTGACATTCCTTTTGCTTTAAGAAAACAGGATGAACTTTGGTGTTACTGTTCTTTATAAGCAATGCACTTAGGATGAAATTAAGCATTTCCTATTATAAATGAATGAATCTCCAACAAATCAATAAATAACAGAGCACTATTATTTATTGGATGTGCATCATTCAATACAATTAGGCACCATCAAGGTCTAATTTATATTTTATCACTCATAAAAACTGGCCTATAAAAAGCCAGAAGCGAAAGTATCAAATCACAAACTGAAAAACAAACCTCCAAACAAAACAAATCCACACACTAAATATAACACAATATAATACAAACACCAAGAATGTGATACTTGGGAGACTACTAAATATCGGAAAATAAGGAAATAAAATTAAGCGTTTTATTGATCCACATGTTTGCCAGTTGCTGCTCTTGTTCAAAACAAGATAAAAAAACTCCTCCCATTTTAGCTAGAGCTACATACAAATAACGCAATCAAACCTGTCTGCCTTTAGCGGGTATAACAGGTAACTATTGTTATGAGAAGGAATGTGGGAAGTTCTGTTTACTTCAGCCCTTTGCATGCTGTCTTTATTTCCAGAATGGAGTACAAAGCTGAGCAAGAACTGAGAGGGGAATCCTCAGAGAGAATGCTGATAGCTAGACTTTAACATGTAATGGTCTATCTTTTGAAGTATAAAGAGATCCCTAAAAATATAAAACTTATTTTCAAACATAAGTCTAAATATGCATTAGGAATCAATGATATTTTACTTTTGTATGTCAAATAATTATAAACTGGTCTTAAATTCTTAAAAAATTTTAGACAACATTCTGAAGGGGAAAAAAAATACCCGTAAAAGAAACAAGCAAAAAAATAATAATTTTGAAGTAACATATTGCAAAAAGGAAAAGAGTTTACATAAACTCATTTTAATAAGCTACCAGTGAGGTACACACTGAAATGTTCAGGGATCAAGTATAAGATGCATAAAAAAACAAAATATACATAAAAAGATGCATAAAAAAGATGCATAAAAAAACAAAAACCAAGATGGATAACGGATGTATAAGAGGGATGGAGAGAGAGATGATAATGCAAATATACTAAAATGTTATAGAATCTAGTTGGTCAGCTCATGGACATTAACTGTAAAATTCTTTCAACCTTTATCTATGCTTGAAAATTTTTACAATAAAATTATGAGAAAAAATCACCAGAGATCAGTTTAATATCTATTAAAACATACAATAAACAAACAAAAAATACTAATCCTTTTAAAGTTAATCAGACTGGATGAAACCATTTAAAAACAGCAGTCTTTATTAGTGCAACTAATCCTATTTGGAAGACCTTTGCCTTCAAGCTTTGACTTGGCTGACATTGCCACAGTGTCTCTAGCAGAGAAGCTATTCTGAACTTTCCTTTTCTATTAAAAGACTCTTTCAATTTGTCTTTTTAATAGACGATGAAAGATTAAGAGAGCCGACTGCCAAGCAGCTGCTTAGAAAAAAACAAAAGAAAGGAAAACTCAGTGCAATCTCACAGGCACTATTTCTATCTCTAGTCCTTACCGTCATCTAAAAACACATATTTCTGAGGGCCAATAATTTCTATTTTTATTTTTTATCTAAAGAACATTAAAGGAAACAGCAAAATGCTACTAAGAAAACAGGCCTAGCGAGTTTCTTTCAGCTTTTTAGTTTACAATTTATCACCAAACTTCCAGCGTCTTAGACAAACTTGTTCATAACAGTCTTCATGCTGTTGGCACAAATATTTTCTGCAAATCCTCACAATTCACCAGGCTATCTCTAAGACGGTTGCATTTTTTGGCGAGGTTTACTTTTTCGTGGCCGTAAAAGCTATACATACTTATTATAAAAAAAAAATTCAGAGAAGTATTAAGAAACGGGAAAAAATCGTCCATAATGTTGCAACTCAAAGAAGCCATCACTGCTAACATTTTGGCATCTTTCCTTTCATTCATTTTCTACGGTCTGATTGTTTACATATTTGAGCTCATGTTGTTTTCATAAGAGTTGTATGTTCCTCCCATTCCATGAACATTACAGAACATAAGCATTTTTCCAAGCCAGTAAAAACTCTCCATAAACATTTGTAATGGCTGTGTTGTATTCTGTTGTATGGATATCTGATAATTACTTATCCGTTTTCCTTTTTGCTATTTCCATTTTTTTGCTATTATAAATAACGCTGTGATAAACTTCTCTGCCAGTATTTCAGACTATTGCCTTTGGACAGGTATTATTTGCTACAGAATAACTGAGTCATTTATCAACATTTTAAGGCTCTTAATAAATACCGCCAAACTGCATTAAATTTATCCTTTGTATTAAAAACAAACAAAAACTTTCTAAATTTGATAAATGGAAAAAATATATATTATTACCATTTTCATTTCCATATCTATGATTGGTTTTTTAAATTAGTCACTTCCACCCCTATATCTTTTAACCTAGCAATTCCACTTCTAGGAATCTATACCACAGAAATACTTGCACAAATGCATGAAGATATTTACATGGATGTTTACTGCAGCAATGGGAATGGCTGGGAGAACGGATAGGTAGGGTAGAGGAAGGACACTTTTGACTTCATGCATTTCTTTATTATTTGAGTACATTATTGTAAGCATGGACTACTTTTGCAAATAGAAACATTTAAAAATTATACTTTCATCTTTTCCCTAAGTAGTATTTCCATTCAACAAAAATTATAAACATAGAAAAGAACAACAACGTTATCTTCTGGAACTCCAGAAAATCTTTTAATTCCAACAAAGGAAAAACATGCTAAAAATCATCCTACCTAATTCTTTAGTATCTCCTCCTGCTGGACTTCCATTTTCCTGTCGGGCTACAAGTGCACTCAAAATAATTTTTGTTGCCCCAATCCTTGGCAGAGTGACATGTGTAAGAAATGGCAAGTTGTTTTTCTTGGCAAACGTCTGACTTGTTTCTCGCCTTTTCCTGAGGAAGCCCCCTTCTGGGAACAAAACAATCCATTTTCGACCTCTGCTCCTGTAATTATTTTCCAGGTGCTTCTTGAGAAAAACCAGCTGTTGGTCACGATGAGATTTTCCCTAGAAGGCAGACACACATATAAGAAGTACAGGTACATTTGAAACATAAAATTAAATAGAAATAACAGCTTCTAAAGTAAAACCCAATCACAGACTAGAATATTCTAGTGATTCTCCTCCACTTCCTTCCCCTCTTGACAATAGAGGTGAAAAGAAATTATTAGCACTTACATAAATAAACCTTCTTTCTAAAGAAAAAAATTGCTCTGATTGCCTCTGAAAGTTCATTCCCGCATCAATTAGTGACTATGTACTGAGTGCCTACTACTTGCCAGGCACTGTCCTACCCCCTGGAGATAGAGAAGTAACTAAGAGACCCTCGTGGAGCTTAGTCTAGTGGGGAAGACAGTAAACCAGGAGTGACTTGGAGACCGAAAAGAGGAATCCAGAAAAATTTGCAAGAAAGCCTAAACCCACAACTAAATATTACAAAGGCTCTTCCTTTCAGTATGATCAATTCACTAATAATCTTCCAGACCGCACAATTACAGAAGCTCCCCAAAATAATTTGTATGTTTTCAATCTTTAAATTATTCCAAATGCAAAAAAATCGTAAGGCAGTTTCTTAGCTAATTCACTGAACTGAATTATGATTAAGCTTTATTTATTTGTTAAGTTCCCAAGACTACATGTAAAATATTTTTAACATTCTTGGAAATATCTTGTCAAAATTGTCCGGGAGCAAAGTCTCAAGAGATTTTCTTTAACATTAAGACTTTTTTTTCTCTCCCCTCCCTCTGTGTTATAGACTTTTATTACTCTCTATCAGGGAAAAAAGTGTTGTTCTTTAGAAATGAATTTGTAAATCTCTCTGATATTTTGAAATACAACCTTTAAGTATACAAAACTTTACGTTGTAATAAAAAATGAAAATGTTTTGCAGTACATTATTTTCTACTTTTATCCCCTCAAAGTACACGGATAATTTAGTAAAATTTAGGCTCTTCTTGATGCTGAGGATCATATTAGGGTCAATTGTTATCCTACACTAGAAATTCAATGACTTCCTTAGACTCTCGCGATGAAGGGGCTCAGTTGGTTTTTCCTCTGGATTCCTCTAGACTGCTAAGCTTCAATTGTTGGTTCTGCTGTCTCCCCTTCCCGCCATACTCTGAGACGTTAGGCTAGTTTCTTTGTGAAGTTGTTCTGGTCACGTTTTACTTCATCTCAGTCTTGTGGCCAGTCCCCATTGCCACTTCTTCCTGAGGTTCCAGTGCGTGCTTCTCTTCCTCTCTCTGCTCAGAAGAACCAAGGGTATTTCCAGAACAAACTAGATAATTGCACAGCATGTGAAAAACAAAAATATGTTCTGTACATAAAACTGTCTGGAGTCAAGTATATTGGTTTTGTGACACCTATTTTCACACAGCTTAGAAGTTTCATACAGCTTAGGAGACTCCAGCTATTTTCTGAATTTGTGGTTCTTAGAAGAGGCTTAATTAGATTCACCAGTTATTCATTAAGTACTTATTATGTGCAAGGCACTGCCCAATCCAGGTTGAAGTTGCTAAATATATAAATACCAGATAAGTGTGGCATTACCATACATAAAAACTCTCACATATTTCAGTTACCCATTTTTGAGAAAATAAACCATGTGATACTAATAGCATATCAGGGAAATACTATAATGTAGTGCTGATTTGGTAAGAGGATATGATTCTCTTTCCTACACTAAACTATTCCTAATGCTTCGGACCCATTCCCAACCCACATTCCTCTATCAAACCCATACTCATTCTTTAGATTAATGCCGAATATCATCTTCTCCTCTAAAGTTTTTCTGGATTCACAGAAATCTGATGTAATTACTTTCCCTATTATGAATTCCCAAAATATTTCCTCTTATGTATTTATTTAATAATCTCCCTACTGGTAATCTTATTTATTTAATAATCTTCCTACTGCTAATTTAGATACCTTCTGTATCATATAACAGTGACTTGTAAAGAAAAATAGTGTTAATAGAGATGATGATAGTGGTAATCATGATAAAGATGATGAAGAAGGGAACAGGCACTGTTCTGAGTGCTTACCATGTTATTACTTCACTTGATCCCCACAGCAACCCTATGAGGAGAGTATCTATTATTCTCATAGCTAAGAAACAGAAGAGCCGAGAAGGTGGCAGGTGCTTGATAAATGTTTACTACACATTGTACTGTTTAGTTGGGAGGAGGAGGGTAGAGAATAGAATATTCACACTATCAGTATTTTAATATTTATGCATACTCAAATTCAGATTGAAATAAATGTTTTAGAGAACAAAGATTCAGAAGAAGAGCTCCCTGAGATACTAGAACTGGCTCTACCTATTACAATTGGGTTTGTTATGACTCTTTTTACTTTAAAGAATCAGTTTGGGGCTGGCCCAGTGGTGTAGTGGTTAAGTTCACACGCTCTGCTTCAGCAGCCCAGGATTCACAGGTTCAGAGGCTGGGAGAGGACCTAAACATCACTCATCAAGCCATGGTGTGGCAGCATCCCATGTACAAAAAATAGAGGAAGATTGGCACAGACATTAACTCAGGGACAATCTTCCTCAAATAAAAAGAGGAAGATTGGCAACAGACATTTGCTCAGGGCCACTCTTCCTCACCAAAAAAAAAAAAAGAAGAAGAAAAAAAGAAAAGAATCAGTTTAATCAGTCTATCACTGTGAAAACAACTGCTCATTACTTACCTGTCTTATAAAGAAGTCTCCATGAATTAGAGAAACAATTCCAAAGTTTGTGTACTTAAAAATATGATCCATCAACCACATAATTTGGGCAACAACCTGAAATATTTCAAAAGAAATAATTAAATGCTAGAGAGAGTAAATCTGACTGTAGTCTAGCCAAGTCTCTAAGTTTTAAATACAATCTTCCAAGCTTACTCTTAATTAACCTAAATGTCTTAAATCTAATGTTATTTCTACACATAAAGTATAGCTATGGATTCTCCATGAAAAATTACAGGTCTTGATTCCAAGTCCTGGAATCCTAAGTTACAGATATATATATCACTGTTAACAAATGAAGCAGAATTAACTTCTTAAATTTGAACTTAACGATTTCAAATTTGTTCTACCCTAAACAAAGTCTATGGTAATTGTCATACAACTTGTAAAATTATTTTGAAACAATACAATGAATGGCTAAAGTTATCAAATGAGGGTTATACATTTAATTAATAAGCACTAAAACTTTATAAAATGTGACTTTATCTTAATGGTTAAAATATTAAAAGTTACAAAATAAAAATATATATAAATATAATTATATAAACATTGTATATTTATATAAAAATCATATATAAATATATTTTATACAAAAATATAAAAATGTCCAAAATAAAGGAACATTAAAAAATCTCTTTAACAGAATGATTTATACCTTCTATCATGTTATGAAGAATATTTGTTAGCTTATGCAAGGCCATACTCTTTGCCAGGATAAAAATATTTATAGTGCCCTCAGTTCTTAAACACAAAAATATTATCCATTTCTGATAAAAGTTATTACTCTTATCAAGAGCAGAAGACTTTATTTTCAAGCAAATTTCAAAATTAAAAGTAATTGTAAACAGGGGTCTAATTAATGAATTGGTTAACTGTTCTTCCCTGCTGAGAAAACAGCATCCCTTGTTATAAGCCTTAAATAAATAAAGACAAAGCTACGATCTCAATCAAGAATGCAATCGAGCTCTACTTTGTTTCCTATGGGAATAGCAAATGTAAACATCTCTAAGCACTAAAGTATAGGAATTTACACATAAGGAAAAAAATAAGCATTGACACCCACGTGCTGCTTTTACAAAAACAGTAAAAAGCCCACAAATAATATAATATTAAAGCTTCTGCCTTAATTTTTCAGTATCACTACATAGTTCAGTTACACAACTCCTCCATCAGCTTCACTATAGAAAATCACTTCTGAAAAATAAAGATACATGCCCAGTGAAGAACTGATTCCCCAAGTCTATTAATACCGAGTAAAATAATCACCAATCTCATTCTTCAGTCTTGTTTTGCTTTGTAATGGTGACTACTTTGTTTAAATGCATTGAGATTTGAACTAAATGGAATTTCTTGAAAAGCACCCCAAGGAACAAAACAAAAAACAAGTGGATTCAATCTACAAAACATTTGAGCTTTAAACACAGTGTGAACTTCAGCTGCAATCTGTAGGGCTCTGGGTTTAAAACACCAACACTAAAGTCACTAGCTTTCATGTTCAACTTTACATTTATGGTGGATTTACAGCTTCAGTTAGAAGAGTTGCCTAACACAAATAAATACGGTACAAGAATCTAGTTATCTTCTGAGATTTGTATGAATAATTCTGTCCTATCTTATTTTAGGGGAAACATCACAAGTCAATAAATGTTTATTATATATCTAATAAAGTTCTTTTGACATAAATAAAAATTCTTAGTTTTATCCTCAATTGCCATAAAAGGGCAAGACTCTTTACAGATATTTATTAAAAGGTACCAGCACATTTAGAAAATACAATTAATCCTTTGTTTCATATTCCTCAAAAAAGTGAGTCAGCAGAGAGAAGCTGCCTGGGGCAACACTGTCAATGTTTCCGAGGCCCGTCACTCAGCATTTTGTGAGGTATTTCCAGAGACAAAATTGGTCTACATCAATTATTCTTTATCTGGAAGCACAGATTTTCTAAATATCAAAACCTCTAGAGAGGCTTACATGAATGACTTCCATTCTTTTCCATATTTCTGAAATGATGGCAAAGTCAACGGTTCTCCAGTTTAGAAATCTGTAAGGACAATTTTAGTGGTCAGAATGACTAGAGAATGCTCTTAGCAGTTCGTGGGTGGCAGCCAGGTACAGAGAACCTCTGGCAATGCCCTGGACGGTTCAGAAGACAGTGCTGTCCTACTGAAACGCTAACAGTGCCCCACTGAGAAACAGTGACGGTGCTACAAGGAGTCTTCTGAATTCAACAGCTACGTTACACTCAGAGCACCACTAAACTAAGATTTTTTTAACTGGACTACAATTTAGCATTACCCCTTCTTTCTTTGAATGGACCCATGGAGTATGCAAAAAATCAAGTAAACATTCCTACTTGTAAATGTAAATTAATACTGCTCTTTACGTATCAGGCAAGAGGTAGAGATTATAATGCTTCCAGTTTTATATTTCTCAATTACTCCTTTATGAAAGAAGGTAAAAAATGATTCAAGATTTCAAGTTATTCAGGAATATCAGGTCATCATAAAAAATGTACAATATAACTAATCTGAAAATAGAAACAAAATTACTCTGGACAGAAAAGTGAAGCTAAGACAAACTAACCGAAATCTCTTTACAAAAGCAAACAAACAAATAAAACTCTCCTTTGTCCACATGACTGGCGAATTTCAGATGACCTAATATTCTGGTTGACACAGTTATTGTCTACGACAACTGGAGTTACAGTAGTAAAGTTAGGCATACTTATACTGACCATTTTAATCATTCTTTGAGATTCAAACACAGTGATTCTTTTTTAACAATTCATGATTCTGAATATAAGAAAGGATTGAATTTATTCCACATTCCAGGAAGATTATGCCTCTGCTTTTCAGATAAACAAGAAAAACAGATTCCACAATAATCAAACGTGTGCTCCTTTACTCTCACCTCAATTTCTGACTGCTGACCTACTGAGGCAAAATCTCTAGCACCTAAATACACTAGGCTTATTCCTGCCTTGGTGTTTCGGCCAAGACTGTTTTACTAAGGAAAAAGGTGCTTCCTTCACCACTCTAAGTAAGTTCTACTCGTCCTTCAAGGCCAAGTTCATGTCTTCTTCCCTCCACAAAGTTTTCTATATCCATCAAGTACACAGCGAGCTCACCCCCCACTGAATACTTCTCACTTTGCTATTAAGCGTTGTTTGCTATACCCTCCCTCCACCTACCATGGGACTGTTGGCTCCTTTAAGAGTAGGAGAGAGTCTTACAGGATGGTGTTCTATACTTGGAGTTACTGACCATGAATATGAAGCACTTAACAAACATCTATTGATCTGCTTCTTTACTATGAGGCCAAATATTAACTCCATTAAATTTATACACTTTCTATTTATTTAGTTTTCTATGAATATAACCATTTTAACTTCTCCTGAGATGCTGAAGATAATTTATTTTAAACCCACCTAGTTTACTGATATATTTTAGTTATCAGTATAAGCAACGTAAAATCAACAGTTCAAACAAAGCCTTAGTAACACTGAATAAAATGAGCCTAATATCTTTCCTTCCAATTTGCTTTGTAAACGAAATTCAAAATAATATTTACTTTATTTTCTTTTGGCTAAAGATCCCCAAGATCACCTAACGCATTGACCACATTTACCAATTTTTTAGTAATACTGCCTTTTGTGTCTGTATTTCCCAAACTGGCAACCTACCACTTCACCTCAAGACAGCCCCCAATTTAAACCATATTAACTTTGCTTTCATCTCAGTAATTTTTTTAAAAGACAGCTTTATGGAGGTATAGGTCACCTTATTCCAGTTATTTATGTTTTTTAAGTCTCTTAATTCCTCTCCTGGAGGGACTTAGAATTATCTATTTTTTCTTTTTAAAATTTTCTAAATTTTCCGCAAAAGTATACACATTAAAGTCGAAGTCTATGTTCCAAACCATAGTGAGGTCCTGGAATTGCCTTTTTGTTAACCTCCCCTTTCCGCCCTCAGGATGGCTTACCAGTCCTTTGTCCTGGAGGCACATCATCAGAGTACACACATCTCCTGTTGCCTGATGATTCACCAACATAACGGCTTCATCTTTTGAAATTGCTTTAATATCTTCCCCCCATTCCATCACTGTAAGAATAAAAAAGCTGTCATTTTAAAGATTTTTACAGTACTACAAACCTTATATTAGAAAAACTGTGTCCATTAATGATGATATATCACCTAGCTAAAACCTTCAAAAGTTTAGAACTAAGTTTATTTCCTATAAAAGTCAGGACATTGATACAACATTTTATAGAGACCCAAAATATCCATTAAAATGTAAAACGGTCATTCCTTTGATCTAGAAGTTTTACTTCTTAGAATTTATCCTACAGACACATTTGTCCAAATAGGCAAAGATATATGAATAAAGGATGTTTACTGCAACTTAAATGTTCAACAACAGCAGACTGGATAAGAAAATTATGACATAATGGCAGAGCGTAAATCCATTAAAAGAATGGAGGTTATCTCTACACCCTAACCCAAAAGGATTCATTATCAAGTAAACAAAACAAATCACAAAACAGTGATGCCATCTTTTTAACAAAGGAATAAAATCTAAATGTTGTTTAATACATTGAAAATTGTATTCAATTCCCTGGGGGAATGAATTCCAAACTATTATCATTGGGAGGTGGTTTCCCAGAGCCCTTCAAAATCTACTTTATAATAAAATCTGCAAACGTTACAAAAATATTTAAGTATTTCCATTTTAAATCAAGAAAACTAATAGAGATGTTACAGCTATCTAAAATCTCCAGATGAAAAGTCATTGCACCAAAACCTATATGTACACTCTAAGGAAAACAGTGGTATCTCCATGTAGTTACGTCTCTTTTTATAGTAAATTTACTTCACAGAAAAAATAAAATTGAGCATAAGTTTCAAACATCAGGATTCTACAAAGAAGTGGCTAGCGTTCTTCAGATGTCTGACACAAATTACCAGAGGCTGATTATACACTGCTGTTCACTCATCTCACTCACTGCCAAAAGGAAAGCAGTCGAGACAGCTGTGTGTAACAGTGCTGGAAGAAATAGGGATGGGGAGACCCGGGGCCCACGAGCGTCACCTCCCTGAGCCTCCCTCCTTCTCCAATCACCCTTCACTGTCACCCCAATAGAGTGGAGCTCCTCATAACATAGTGGAGCTCACAAGAGCTCATTCGAGAAAAAGGTTCTGCTAATTTTTTTCTTTTTATTAAAACCCATTTAAGCAAGGCATTCATTCATTTTAAGGATCTTAAAATTTTGTATTAAGGAAATTTTCAGCTGGGCTGAACATATATTAAGTTGTGATACCTATGTGCAAAGTGAGGTATTCCAATCATTCTATGAAATGTTATTACTAATACTCAAATAGCTTTCAACGTGGGAAAAAAATTTTATTTAAAATTTTTTAAACGAATGCGGTACGGAAATTACAGTAAGGGATGTCTAATAAGCCTTAAGGAATACACGTAGGACACTGGGAGAGCCTAGCCTCTTGAAAGAGGCAGCAACATCATCTTTCCTTCACAACTTTCCTGTCCCAAGCTCCCTGTTCAGTTCGTCTGACAAGCCAACTTTACTGAAACATGTTTAAACAGCTACTATATCATACACTGCTGGGGGGAGTATAAACTGGTACGATGGTTTTGGAAGTCAATTTGGCAATATATATCAAAACTAAGAAATGTGACCATCTTTTTACTTAGTAATTCCACTTCTAGGAATTCATCTTACAGATATACTTATTCATGTGCAAAATGACACATATGCAAGGCTACTTATCATAGTATTGCTTATAAGAGCAAAGATGAAAACTAAAAAGAGAGACTAGCTCAAATTCATAGAAACTGAATGTGGTTTCCAGAAGGGAGAAATGGGAAGTTGGAATAGTATAGGGTTTCCGTTTTGCAAGATGAAAAAGTTCTGGAGACTGGTTACACAATAATGTGAATATATATAACAATACTGAAATGCATACTTAAAAACGGTTAAGATGGTAAATTTTGCTACGTGTATTTCATCATAATTAAAAATAAAAATGGGAGACTAGGAAATAAATTATAAAATATCTATGCAATGGAATATTATGCAATCATAGCATTTGTATACCAATATGGAACGATACACTATAATAATGGAAAAGTGTAGAACAGTGTGCAAAGGATGCCACCAGTTGGGTTTTAAAAAAGGATGGAGGAGAATATACTTACTAAACGAACACTCCCCATATCATGCCATTATCGACAACCCTTCAATGGAGACACCAGCCCACCCCCCCACCTCGTTCATTAATTCATTCTTCACTCAATAAATCAGCATCAGGCACTGTTAGGTGTTGTGCATATAAAATAAGTAAGAACAAAATAATAGCAGTTAAAACACTCAAGAAAACTCTAGCTTGGTTCTATAAACATTGGGCTATTAAGATGTAATGTGGAAAGTCTTCTGGCTCCACATCTATGTAAACAGATGTTTCATGACCAAGTATTCCTTTAAGGCAATCTCTGCTGCATGAATGGACAATACTAGATACTTAGGCCGATGCAATGGGAAAGCATATATGTAAATATAACTGCAAATAAAAATAAGCTTTTTACATAAAATGTATCTGACCTGTTTGCTCTATATAAAGTAGAGAAATCTAGTAAGTGTGTTGGTTTAAATCTCAAAATGGAAATTGAATTTAGAACCCTCTCTACTGGGTTGAATAGTGTTCCCCCCCAAATTTACATCTAGCCAAAATCTGTGAATGTGACTTTATTTAGAAACAGAGTCTTTGCGGATGTAATCAAGTTAAGATGAGGACTGGGGTGGGCCCTAAGCCTAAATCCAATATGACTGGTGTCTTGGTAAGAAGAGGGAAATTTGGCCACCGAGACACACAGGGAGAATGCCATCTGATCACGGAGGCAGAGACTGCAGTGATGTGTCTAGGATCCAGGAAGTATAAACCACCACCAAAAGCTGGAAGAGGCAAGGAAGGATCCTCCCCAGAGCCTTCAGTGAGAGCAGGACCTTGCCAACATCTTGATTTCAGACTTCTAGCCTCTGGAACTGTGAGAGAACGAATTTGTGTTGTTTAAGCCACCTCGTTTGTGGTACTTGGTTATGGAAGCCCCAGGAAACTAAGAGACCACCCCCCTCAACTTTTCCCATCCTTTCTCTCTCCTTTGCATTCTATTCCTCACCAAATTACAGGTTTTCTCTTATCAAATATAGGAAAAGAATAACTGCACTGTACTTTGAACATCTAAACAGACATCTAACATTATGTATTATAAATGGTTCTCAATGTTCATTTCTATAATACTTTCAGGGTATAAGCATTAAGAGTCAATCCAAAACATATTTGATCTCTCAGCCATAACTTTGCCAAAATTTATCTTCAAACTAAATGTCAATTTACTAAGACTCACATGGCATACTAAATCAAACAAGTGAAGGTAGCTGGATTGACTTTTTATTAAGAAATTATCCTGAGGTAGCAATAGAGTCACGTTGAATTTTGTAATAATCTAAATTTTATTCAACAATGAATTAATTTCCAATATCTGCGGTATTCTTCTTTTACCATACTTTTACCATACCATTACATATTTCAAAGATCATTGTTAGAAAGTTATATAATTAAGAAAATCAAGATAAAAAGTGCTTATAGAGAGCCAGCCCTGATGGCCTAGTGGTTAAAGTTCGGCACTCTCACCATTTCAGTGGCCTGGGTTAGTTTTCCAGTTGCAGAACCACACCACCCATCTGTCAGTAGCCACGCTGTGGTGGCAGCTCACATAGAAGAACTAGAAGGACCTACAATTAGAATATACAACTATGTACTGGGGCTTTGGGGAGGAAAAAAAAAAAGAGGAAGATTGGTAACCGATGTTAGCTCAGGGTGAATCTCCTCCCTCCCCCCAAAAAAATGCTTATAGAGAAAAAGCATTTATTTCATGCTCCTTAGACCATATCCTGCTATCCCAGAATCAGTAAGTATAATAATGGAGCCAGTTTCTTAACCAAGGAATAGAATTATTCACATGTTAAAGAACAGAAGCTATGGAAGCCTGCCAGTTCTTACAACGTACTTGATTAAAACAAAAATATTTTAACACACTGTTCTGTGAAGTGAATTCTCAAAAAAGAATTGGGTCAGGCCCACTATTCTCAAAGGGAATGAAGGACAACTGAATAAAAGCTGGAATAAAAGTTTTCTAGCTGCAAGCAAACTTTTAAAATTCTTGTTAAAAACCAAAGCCAAAGATTACCACCTTCTGCACACACGCGCACACACACACTCTCTAACATCTGAATAAACCTCCCCCGAAGTTATAGACTACAATTGACCAGGATAGTTCACATCTCAAAAAGAAAATAAAAACAACAATAATCCATCACAAATTCCTTAAAGACAGTAATGCTAAGTCCATCATACTGTCCCACAAAACAGAACTAATATGAAGACAGGTTGCTTAATACATGACCACAATAGCTTACATTTCAAAGTTCAAAACATTATGCTTGCAAGCTGCTGCCACAAATGATTTTACCATTCTGTGCCTCAGTTTTCTCATTTATGTAATACTAATAATATCGTTAATGCCACTCAAACATTGTGAAAATGAATGAGATATAATTGATAGAATCATAGAGATCCTGGGTAATTGGATTACATGACGAAGTCACTTTTGATATCACTATTAACTGAAAGAGTCATATGCCTACTGTGTCGTGTAAGGTCAGGTATTCTAATATGAACAGTAAAGATCACAGAGCAACAAAAACCACAGGAAAGAATCTCATGTAGCTCAAGAAGTCTGGCTTTCAATAGCCCACCTTGGAGGTAGACGGACTGGATTCATCCAAAGTTAGGGGTCTGCAGAACAAATGGGGCAAGACACAAAGGGAGTGAGGACATTAATTAAGGGTGCCATGGGAAAGTATTTTAAGGTACTGATTAACGGAAGGGAGATTGGTGAGGACAGGAACCAGATAAGGGGGTGATTAACTAAAAGCAAATGGAGGGAGGGCTATTATAATAGAGAGGTTGTTGGCGTCATCAAGCGGATTCCAACTCCTAGAGACCCTGAGTACAGCAGAGCT